CTCTAATCCCCGTTCATAACAACTCCCTGTCATTTAAGACGTCAAACTTGAGCTCGAGGAGAGGTAATCCTCGCAGAAGATCTGTGCAGAATAAGCTGGCTTTTATCATTCACACAATTCAGCCTGCAAATTAGCCGGAGCTGCCGATAACAACAACAGGGCGCGGGGAAAAGAAACACCAGGGAGGATTTTTTGATGGTGGATTTGTCAACATTCCCAGGCTGACAGATGAAATGATAACACACAAGTTATTGTTTGGAAAGCTTTTAAATGCTTGTAACAGGCAGTTTATAACACACACACACACACACACACACACACACACACACACACACACACACACACACACACACACACACACACACACACACACACACACACACACACACACACACACACACACACACACACACACACACACACAGTGAAAGCCTCTATTCAGCAGATCTGCCTCATTTGAATTAGAGGAGCTGCTATTGTTTGCTTAATAGGGTCGGTTCTGGTGAGGTTTTTGAATTCTCATGAGGACCAACAAAAACCACACAGCGAGCTGCGGAGTGAGCCTCTCCATGATTCATCTCTTTTCCCCGTTTTAAAAACATTTCCTTTGATGATTCAATTCAATCCAGCAACACCAGCGTCTGATTTACCCCCTAAAAAAAGAACTAGAGGGGAACTTTAAAATCTTAATTATATTATTTAATGTTCTTCTTCCTTCCTGCTGACTGTCAGATTCAGTCTCCAGTTCAGATATCTTCATTTTAAACACAGTTTACAAGCTGAAACTTAAAGGTCCAATCAGTGAGCTGTGTAGAGAGTGAGATGATAAAGGTATCTTACTATCTGATCATTAAGGAAACATGCTATGTTGAAGTGCTGGCTTCTCTGACAACAATGCAGCAGCCAGTATGTCCTCCTTCTAACTTTAGATTCTGCTCCTGAATGCTCTGGATTTGTTTGGACCAGAGAAGGTAGGCGCTTTTAAGACACCCCCCCACACGGCCGTTTTGGACGCCCCTCGGTTTGCCAGATATGAGAGCAGTTATCAGGTCAAACCAACAGTGACTACTTCAATATTCTAAAATCCAGGCCCATTCCTTGCCGTTACAGAAAACACACTGCTGTTGTCCCGAGATAATGACAGACAGGTTGAGACAAACCCAACAAAGTCTACTTGTTACGACAGGAAAACCGAGTACAATAAAATGGAGGGATGTATGTCTTCTATGGGCTTCCATAGTTCTGGGCTCTTAAAGAACAGTATGTAAACTCCACCACCAGGGGGGGCTGTCAACCAAAACAATAACAAAAGACGACATTGAGGCTGGAGGGGAATCATGGGAGTTCTCTCTACTACACATGCTACTACACTACACTACTCTACTACACTACACTACTACACTACACTACTACACTACACTACACTACTCTACTTTACTACACTACACTACACTACTACACTACACTACTCTACTTTACTACACTACACTACTACACTACACTACTCTACTTTACTACACACTACTACTACACTACTACACTACTACTACACTACACTACTACACTACTACACTACACTACTCTACACTACTACACTACACTACTACACTACACTACTCTACTACACTACACTACTACACTACTCTACTCTACTACACTACTCTACTACACTACTCTACTACACTACTCTACTACACTACTCTACTACACTACACTACTCTACTACACTACACTACTACACTACTCTACTACACTACACTACTCTACTACACTACTCTACTACACTACACTACTACACTACTCTACTACACTACACTACTCTACTACACTACACTACACTACTACACTACACTACTACACTACACTACTACACTACACTACTACACTACACTACTCTACTACACTACTCTACTACACTACACTACTCTACTACACTACACTACTCTACTCTACTACACTACACTACTCTACTACACTACACTACTACACTACACTACTCTACTACACTACTCTACTACACTACACTACTCTACTACACTACACTACACTACTACACTACTACACTACACTACTACACTACTCTACTACACTACACTACTCTACTACACTACACTACTCTACTACACTACTACACTACTCTACTCTACTACACTACTCTACTACACTACACTACTCTACTACACTACACTACTCTACTCTACTACACTACACTACTCTACTACACTACTACACTACACTACTCTACTACACTACACTACACTACTCTACTACACTACTCTACTACACTACTCTACTACACTGCTCTACTACACTACACTACTCTACTACACTACTCTACTACACTACTCTACTACACTACTCTACTCTACTACACTACTCTACTACACTACTCTACTACACTACTCTACTACACTACTCTACTCTACTACACTACACTACTCTACTACACTACTCTACTACACTACACTACACTACACTACTCTACTACACTACACTACACTACTCTACTACACTACTCTACTACACTACACTACTACACTACTCTACTACACTACACTACTCTACTACACTACACTACTCTACTCTACTACACTACTCTACTACACTACACTACACTACTCTACTACACTACACTACACTACTCTACTACACTACTCTACTACACTACTACACTACTCTACTCTACTACACTACTCTACTACACTACTCTACTACACTACTCTACTACACTACACTACTCTACACTACTCTACTCTACTACACTACTCTACTACACTACACTACTACACTACACTACTACACTACACTACTCTACTACACTACACTACACTACTCTACTACACTACACTACTACACTACTCTACTACACTACTACACTACACTACACTACTCTACTACACTACACTACTCTACTACACTACACTACTACACTACTCTACACTACACTACACTACACTACACTAAACTACTCTACTACACTACTCTACTACACTACACTATACATGCTGCTGTTTTTATCCTGCACTACAACGAGCCAAATGCAACAAAATTTCATTCTTATCTGCACTGTAAAGTACAAGTTTGAATGACAATAAAGAAAGTCTAAGTCTAAGTCTACCAACCCCCTATTTGAGGTAATGAAAGTACATATATATAGAATATACTGTATAAAAATATAGGTTTATGGTGCGTTCCATTTGATCTCGGAAGTCGGAAATTTGGATTTGCCAGTCTCGTACGTCATTCTACTATCTACAACTCTACAATTCTACAACTCTACAATTCTACAATTCACTGAGCAGACGCTTTTCTCCAAAGCGACGTACATCAGAGAGTAAGAACAACACAAGCAAGGATCTAGAAAAAAGGGAACAATGTGAGTAAGAGCAAACGATCAGCTTTGAGTCTGATTGGACACACAGGTGCTGACAGGAAGTGACCAGAGGCAAAGCACAATATTGAGGGCAGTTCTTGAGAGCTCTAATCAGTATAGAAACCATCTTATAAGTCGTCGTTATCAAACAAAAACCATCGTCATTACCATCATCACCATCAATAATATGGAGACCATCATCATTAAGTTAGTAGGTATTCATGAAAGAGCTGGGTCTTTAGCTTTTTCTTAAAGGTGCAGAGGGACTCTGCAGACCACATGGAGTTTGGAAGTTCATTCCACCACCGGGGGGCGACAGAGGAGAAGAGTCTAGTCAGAGACTTAGGACCCTGTTGTGAAGGTTGGATCAGACGCCTTTCATTGGCAGAGCATAGTGGGGGGGGGAGTGTAGACCAGAAGTTGGAGAACCTTCAGTAGCTCTGGTTAAAATCCAACATGGCTGCAACCTTATTAGCAGCTTAGTCCTCTCTGTGTTTACTCAAATCAGTCACACCGGTGGTATTGTTAAAGTTCTATCTGTGGCCATGTTGTTCTGTTATTTTAACGCACAAACTATTATAGTGTGTTGTTATCACCTGGTGTTAGCTAACAAAACAAAGGTACTACTGGAGGCGTCCATGTTGCCAGGGTGATGCATGCACTGCTGGGGGCGCCCACTTTGCAATGATGGTAGCAACCCTCCCTCAGGGGGCCCCATTGACAGCACTGACTCTTGTAGCCCTGGTTGAATGTTGGTTAGAGAGCCCCCCCAAATTGATTTAGGGCCCCATCCGACTCCAGAATTGGCCCTGCATGATGTTTGTGCGACTTGTTGCTAACTCACAACTGGTACTCGGTTAGCTCAGGTGTTACTACAGGTTAATACACACACACACACACACACACACACACACACACACACACACCACACACAAACTTTAGCTGTGACCCCACATGCTAACAAAGGCCATCAGTGTGTCACAAAGGGCTTAATGCATCATATGAAAACACATGATTAACGCCTTTAAATCCAAACCAGTGACCACGAGCATAAAAAAAAAGACCCCTTCATTGCACCTTTAAAACGTGTGCTGACGTATGTCTGTCCGTCGACCTGTGAACGCATCACCGCCTGCTCCACACATTTTGACAACTTCCTGAACTCCTTGTTATTGTAACTTCACTGTGACGCCCAGCAGCTCCGAGTTAGCTACGTGGCTGCCTGTTCATCCTGCTCCAACACTACTGACCCACCATGCTCGCAGCACCATGCATGGTGCGAGAAGGTCCATTTTGCATCTCACACCACACACACACACACACACACACACACACACACACACACACACACACACACACTAGCAGACACAGTATGGGAATGCAAAGGTTGGTTGTTATGTGCGTAAAAGGTTGAGGAGAGAGAGAGAAGTCCACAGCCTATCAGCAGTCTCTCTCTGTCTCTCTCTCTCTCTCTCTCTCTCTCTCTCTCTCTCTCTCGCTCTCTCTCTCTCTCTCTCTCTCTCTCTCTCTCTCTCCTCTGAACATTTTAAGGGTTTTTTAGGAAATGGCGAGACAGCCGATAAAGAGCCGTGCAGCTCCATGAAGCCACCCGGAGCCGGACCCCTACCTGAATCGGGGGGATGCCGCCCGGACCGTCCACTGATTCGGGCGAGTTGTCGAACACTCGGTCCCGGTACAAAGACCACAGCCCGACGTTAGGGAGGAAGAGAAGAGCTGCTATGAGCAGCCCGGCGAACTGCAGCAGCCGCTTCTCTTTCCGCCTCATCTCTCCGGGGGGAGAAAAGCGTGAGAAGAAGAAGCGGTGGTGGTGGAAACTAGCGGGTCCCGAAACCCCCACGCTGTTCCAGGCGGAGGCAACTTTCACTCTGACTTGGTGGGGGGGCGGGGACGGACACCGGCGTTGTCTGTGACGCGCAGAGGCGGCGAGGTCTGCCGCTAGGGGGAGCGGAAGGGTGCGCTTCCGCCGGAGCAAAGGGTGCCGAGGTTGAGGTGGGTGGCGGGGGGACGGGACGGACGGGACGGGACGGGACGGGACGGGGGGACGACGACACTCTAAAAGAAGCAGTTTTACTCCCCCCCCCCCCTTGTTTATTACAGCATGTACACTACATAGATAAATAAACAATAAACGGAGAGGGAAAAAGTTCTATGACTTGCTGACTACTCGTGCTGCTTTCAAATGCAGCTCGGAAATATGATACACGCTGTGTTCAAAGGGCAACACATGAGATGAGATGAGATTCAACTTTATTGTCATTACACATATACAAGTATAGAGTAACAAAATGAGGTTTGGCATCTCACCAGAAGTGCAAATAAGCAGAAAGTGCAAGAGTCTGTGCTATGTACAGTAATTATTAAATTTACAGATGTAGACTAAAAAAGTGAATTATTAGGTATATCTGGCTGGATTAATGGGATGCTATAAATATAAATAAATGCTATAAATATAAGTATATTCTTAAGATTATAATATACAGATTAAGGTGCAGTGAGCATGCTATACTAGTTTACAGATCATATAAAGAATATGGACATATTGTACAGGTCGATAACTTATTGAGGTGATATGAACAAACTATAATACAATAATACAGGTGGATGAGAGATGTGTGTGTGTGTGACCAGGAGGAGTGAACTACTGGTTTGATTTTTAGGCTTTTTAAGATAAGGCAGTTTACATAACAAGGAAGAAGAAACATTAGATATTTATAATGGAATGATTAGGAGAGCAATGGTCAAATAAATGAAACAACATTTAAAAAAGACAAAGTTGATTAAAACTGTACTGGAACGTGTTGATGGAAAATACATTCTTAATAAAACAAAAATTAGGTGAACAGACAAAAAAGCACTAAAGGGGAAATGATTTATATTTATCACATTAATTTATCACATCCATTCATTGTTGTGATTTGTAGTATCTGTCAAAATAACATGAAGAATATAACAAAACACTCACACTCACACACACACACACACACACACACACACACACACACACACACACACACACACACACACACACACACACAGACACACACACACACAATTTGGACGGATGCAAAAAAATGCAGAAAATAAAACCTGTTTAAAATAATATTAGAGACAAACAAAAGTTTTGGAGTCAGTGTGCATACATGAATAAGACAGCATGAGATCGTATTTCTTCTTATAAATTGATATGCAGGGGCGGTAATAGCCTAGTGGTTATGCCGAATGCCCCTTGTCCTTTTTGCAGTGGGTGTGGGTTCAAATCCGACGTTCTTAAACTGTCAAATTCTGCTGCCACATTGTGCAGTGTGTACTTTCAATCTACTGCCTAACTAACCAAACTTGACTTTAAGCAGAAGTATGGATGTTGGACCCCCACAGAGGGGATCTGGTATCCCTCTCTCACTCCTTTAGCAGCATGTTGCTGGAGTTGTTTTGGCCCATGTGTCTGCAGGGTCGCTGCAAATCAATACAAAGATGTTCTGAGTGATCCCCTTTATCCTTTGATGAAACATTTCTGCGCTGGCTCAGGATCGCTTTCTTCAGGATAACAATGTCCTCATCCAAAGGGGGGAGGGTAGCATGAAATAGTGTGACCCTCACAGCATCAGTATTCTGCTCAATCTAAGAGGAAGTTAAAGAAACTATTTGCTGAGCAGATATTCTGCTTTTAAGATTTCCGTTTGTTCCATTTACAACATGCTGCTGCTCAGAATTTGACAAATAACTCAAACTCTGTGTGACACAACACAACTGAAGTGTCTCACCCATCTAAAATAAAAATCTCAGATGCAGTCGCGGCGGGGCTGAAAATGTCATCAAACAGGCCGCTTCTGAAGGAGGAACTTACTGATCCAGTGAGATCCAAACAACAACAACAACAAACAATCTGCTCCTTCAGGTTCCTCCTGCAGCTGAGCCCGAGCCTGCAGACGATCGCGAGATAAAGTTTAGTTGTGTCTCTGACAGAAATCCGAGCAGCCCATCGCGTCTATTCTGTGAGCAAAGACAAAGTCAGCGTGTTTGTGAAGCGCCTGTAAGCATGTGTGAGGGTGCGTTCTCATGCCTCCTCCTTGTTTTGGAGGAAAAAACAGATCCAGGGCGATAGGAGGCTGAATACGTTTTATTTTCAGATCAAACTGAGGAGTGAGAAGGATGTGACAGTGAAGACATGACCTCCTTTAGAAGCTTCATAATTATCTCCTTGTTTACCATTTATTTCATCAGCAATCGTAAAAACTTTCACCAACTGATGATCTAAGAGTGAACCAGGACAGGCTTGTTGTGAAAAGAGGTTTCTATAGGAGTCATATGGAGAAAGACTGATCTTCTGATCTTACAGTTGTACAAATACTACTAACAGTCAGTGAGTTTACATGGGACAGCTTGATAAAGCCAGATACCGATGTGCTACTCAAACGGACAGCTGTCACTTGTCTGATATGCCGATCACAGAATCGTATAAATGGCCGGAGCATGGCTGACTCCGCTACGCTATGTGGCGCTGTACCCCTTTCAACACGTGGTTATAGAGCCACTTCCTGTTCACCTTAACGTCACAGCAACAACAAACTGTCTGGCGGCGTTCAAACAAAGATGGCATACGAGGAGATGGATGACGCTGCAGCTACGTACGTTATTTACATTCTAATAATTCATATTAGAAGAAAAAAGGAGATAACAGCAGAAGGACGCCGTTTTCCGCCAACAACACTACTATTTATTACGTCATCTCCTTCCACTTCCGGGTGAAAGCCCTGGCGGAAATTCTTGAGCATGCGCAGAACGGGAAATCCGATTACGATATGATGACTGAGTTTACACGCCGTTAGTTTGCGACTATGAACGACTTATTGAGGTGTTCTTTTCCGATGATGAGATGTCCGTTATGGTCAGATGTAGATCGGACTGAGATGTTTATATGCATTTAAAAAGTCCAAACAGTGTCTGATACGATCAGAAATTTGAATATCTAGCGCCATGTAACACTACTGACTGATCTATTCCGTATGAGATATGAACAGCAGGTTAAGATAAGACTTCCTGAATAAACACTGCAACATCTTCTGTTTCCATTTGACAGAAAATCCATGTGAATTTGGCAAACTTTTGCATGCACAAGTAAGACCAAATTTATCTTAATTTTCACTTTTTTTCACCTTTGCTCAGACTCTCAATCCTTCCAATGAATGGAATGAATTCCCACAAACACAAACAGATTTTTCATTTTTCATTTTCGTTTAAATGCCAGTGGATTTTTTTTGTGTGATTTTCAACAAAATCAAACAGCTGTGATGTTCTTGTGTGCCCTGACCCATGATTTATTGGATATGAATTTTGTCATTTTTAGAAGGGCAAAAGAAGCTATTTTCATTTTTTTTCTGCTGTGATATTTGCCCGCTGATTTTCCTTTCTTCAGTGTTTGTTGCGTCAGTGTTATACCCGCTGTCTGAAAGCACCGCACCACAGCTGCTTCTGTGTCTGTGCATGCAACCTGCAGAGTTATGGATTTAAAAATGCTCTGCAAAAAAAAAAATCAATGCAAGTCCAGACGGAGGAGTCAGGCTGACACACAAGGAGGCATCAAGTGCATGTGCAGAAATTAAAAATGTGAAATCCTCATTCAGAGTTTTTATTTCACAGTCAGAGGCCTTTCTTAGCAGAAAACACCCGGAGCAAAGGTGGATTCATATTGAGGTGTACGCTGTGTGTGAAGACTACATCCATGTACCACACTAGGTGGTATGAGAACTGGAGCATCTGTTTTCACCTGCTGGAGAAGTCTGGAGTAATGATGAAATAAATGAACCACTTTGCAATGAAATTAAAATGTGAGAGGGTTGAAAAAAAAAAAAGAATCTGGACAGATATTTTTGCAGATATATACTCATTAGTACATAATGTATTTTCTTAATGTTATCAAGGTGTGTGACACATGAAAATCAAGCACCACTCTTCAAGATACTAAAGTAGAAGAAGAAATCCTCCATCATTCCTGCGAGGGGAAGTTCAATTTTACACTCCGTTATTGAGACATGCTGCACACACACAGGCTGAAACACACACACATGCACACACAGGTTAAAGACATGCACTTTAAGAGAGAAGTCCGAGTGAGGGGGGGGCTGCAGATGAAAAAGCGCCTGAGTAGTTTGGAGTTCTGTGCCTTGCTCAAGGGCACCTCTGCAGTGCTCATGACGTGAACTGGCACCGCTCAAGCTACCAGCTTGGTCGGCACTGGGACTTGGACCAGGGACCCTCCAGTTCTCTACACATTGAGCTACTGCAGCCCCCTAAACATGTCCACCTTCTTCCCCTCTTTGCACGGCCGCTCACTGTGACGACCAGCAGATCGGCATGGAGCCTTTGAACCGATCGAGCTCAACCCCACGTTTATATAAAAGCAAAACAAAGAACTTACAGTGCTTAACTTTTCAAACACAATGACTCAGCGAGGAAAACAAAAAGCTTAATTTTCATCCTACAACTCATATCAGCAGAGAAAGAAAAACGGTGAAAAGAAGGAATTAAAAAAAGGACTTTTGCACCTTCAAAGACTCAAACTTTACAAGATCCCCACTTGACATTTCTAAGTCCGGTTGCTGAAGCTTCAGTTAAGCGTCACCTGAAGTGTATATCACATAAAGTTAAGCCCCAGGGATGGATTTCCTAAGATGACTGCTGTCCTGCAGCTCTGGGTCATCCTTTATGACATCACTCTTCTAAACTGTCCATCGACTTAAACCTGGAGAACGATCAGTGGATGTTTTCCTTCAATCAGATCCGACTGAACATTTGGAAGGTATTGACATAACTTACGTCATGTTGTGATCTCTGTCCCTGTTGTGTTGCCGGCTGTAGATTATTCTGTGTGTGTGTTTATTGATGCTGCACCCGTGTGTTTACAAAGGAGTGTATGTTTTTGTTTCTGTGGCTGTTTGAGGTGACGTGAGGAGTCAAGTTTGTCACTCTCTGGCATTAATAAAGTATTTCT